GAGAAAGAGGGAGGGAGGGAAAGAAAGAGAGAGAGAGAGAGAAAAGTGGAATCACAGTATTTGTTTTTGCAATGGGCATATTTCACTTAACAGAACGTCCTGAAGGTTCATCAGTGTTGGAGCGTGTGTCAGAACTTCCTTGTTCAGGCTGGATGTTCCATTGTGTGGTTACAGCATATTTTGTTTATCCATCCATCTCTCAGTGCACACCTGGACTGCTGCCACCTCTTGACTATTACAAATAATGCTGCTATGAATGTGAGTGTGCAAATACCTGTTTGAGTCTCTACTTCATTCTTTTTATCTCTTTATATTTTAAGACATAGTTTTTTGGATGTCACTTCTCATCAGTTCGTTCCTGAGAAGCTCAGCTGGGAAGTTACTGGTGTCTGTCTCATCCAAAAGGTTAAATCTTCCAGTGTCCTGAGTACACACCAGCAATTAGCAAATGCAGGACCACATTGAAATGCCTGTTGCTGAGATTGTTGTCAGCTGAATTATGGGCTCCAGGTAGATAACAGTGAGGTTGCGTTTCACAAATGTGTCATCTGACTTTCAGAAACTTCCCATTTCATACCAACTATGCTCTGACAGCACCAAAGAAGCTGCAACCTGAGCTAAGGTGTACCTAGCCTCAGAGAAGAAAAGTGTACAAGGAACCTCTTTAATTCATTTCCTCACTGATCTTCTCTATTAATACGTTGCCATCAGTTAACTTTCCTATTCTCTATTTGGAAATTTCCTTACTAAACAAAATTCTATCTGATTCTTTCTAAGTAGACTATGAGGCACTATTAACCCAAATTATGCATGAAGGATTATCTCAAGAAATGAGAGGGAGGAAGATGGCAGGATGGTGTTGGAAAGCACTGTGGTGTGTGTGGAAAACACTGAGTATGTGTGGAATGGGGACTTTTTACCTACCTGGCTGCAACATAGTATGTCATTCAAAACCCGCAGCAGGCTGGGCGCGGTGGTTCACACCTGTAATCCTAGCACTTTGGGAGGCCGAGGTGGGCAGATCATGAGGTCAGGAGTTCGAGACCAGCCTGACCAACATGGTGAAACCCTGTCTCTACTAGAAATACAAAAATTAGCCTGGTGTGGTGGCGGCCACCTGTAGTCCCAACTACTTGGGAGGCTTAGGCAGGAGAATGGCGTGAACCCAGGAGCCAGAGGTTGCAGTGAACCAAGATTGCACCATTGTACATCAGCCTAGGTGACAGAGCAAGACTCAGTCTCAAAAAATAAAATAAAATAAAATAAACAAAACCTGCAGCAACCCTGAGAACAACATGGCCCTCATCACACTGGCTAATGACTATGAAGTGCTGACCACACTCACTCCAGACACCGGCCGTATCCTGCCCAAGCTACACACCATCCAACCCAAGGGCAAGATCACCTTCTGCACTGGCATCCACCTGGCCCATCTGGCTCTGAAGCGCCAACGGGGCTCACACTCTTCCTACCTCACTCATCTTTGGGGCAGTTTTGTGGGATTTTCCTGAGGAAAGGGTCTATTTTTAAAAAACGGCCCCAAGGCCTACAGTTCTAAATCCAGACCATGTCTGAGCATGAGTCTAGGTTCCTGTATCCCTGCCCTCCCCCGTGGGGCCGGAAGCCCTGCATCCTCCTCAGAGAAGGGCGGAGACTGCCCATCCCTGCAGTGGGTCCGTATCTGGCCCTGTCCCCCTTTGCTTCTTACAGGGCAAGGGAGGCTCTGAAGCTGCTTCTTTCTTTCTTTATTGCAGTTGGCTTAGTTCCTGCTTCTTTTCCTGCCTGTGTCACCAGCAGGGAGGGAAGGAGTCCTCCAGCAAGAAGGTCCCCACCCCACATAGTGCCATTATCAATGCCGGGAATCCAGAAGGTCCCAACCCACAAACCACAACAGCCCTCTCCAGGCACGGGGGACCAAAGCTCTCCTTCGGCAATAACTACGATGGATAAGGCACCAAGCCGGGCACTTTGCATCCATCAACTCACACAGCTACATCATTACCAAACCTGGGCTCACCGTTCTTTTAACCAAAGATGGAGGATCCTTTTCCAAGGCTGAGCTGCCCTCCTAGTTGCCATGGAGAAAGAAGAAACCCTGGTTCCTTCACTGCATGGCTCCTATGAGGCCTCAGAGGCAGCAGCTGCCTTGTGCTTCTCTCTCTCTGGACCTCACGTGACCTCTAGGCCTCACTGGACACAGACCCTGTGACTCCAGACAAAGGGTCAGCAACTTTCTGGGGCCCAGTCCAGCAATTCCTGCTCAGAGAGACCCATGGTTTGAAACCAAACGATGCATTTGTGCAGCCCTCCCGTTGTAACATTTGCCCAAGGGTTATGAACTGCGAAGCTAGCCCTGGACCGGGCTCGCTCCTCAGGGCCTCTGAACCCAGTGGTGCAGAGAGAGATGCAGACCCCAAGTCAGAAACACCACCACCTGGGCAGTGCAAGGAGCTGATGCTGAGATGCAAGGGCTGCAGTGAGATGCAAGGCCTTGGGGAGAACTTGCGGCTGCCAGTTCATCCTGGAAATGGATACAGGGTAGTAACATGAGACAGTGTAGTGGTAGGAGCCCACAAAGTGAGGCCAGTGTGCTGGGTTCACACCCTGCCTCCATCACTTACAGGTGTATGACCTTGGGCGGGTGATTTCACTTCTCACAGTCTCTTTCCCATCCATAAAATGAGGTTAATAGGAGTACCTAAAGCAAAAGTTGTTCTAGGATTAAATTAGTAAATAGACGTAATATGCTTAAAACCATAGCTAGCACACAATGAATGCTGCCTTTGTGTTCAGGACCACTGTGATTGTTGTTACTATTAACACAAGGAGTCTGCTTAGGTCAGACCTCTGCAAAGATATCGTAGGCCTAGCACCAAGGTTTTCATGGAAGTGTAGTGACTTTCACAGGATATGCTGTTGATGAATAGAGCAAGGTCAAGTTTTACCACGACCTTTTCTCTAGCAAGTTAGCTAAGGATCCACTAACTGCAGACTCAAGTTGTCAGCATGTATATCGCTCAAATCAAAGGGAACCCAAACCGGTAACCCAAACCCCAGGTATCTCTGCATACATAATTTTCCCTTCATTAATCTATTTAGTCAACAAACTTTTGCCAACTTCCTATGTGTCCGACCCTAGCGTGGCTCCATGAGAAATCAAAAAATGAATCAAGCTTCAAAGACCAGTTGAGATTAAAATAAAGGTGATCTGTCTATCCATCCATCCATCCATCCATCCATCCATCCATCCATCCATCCATCCGTCAATCTATCCATCCATCCATCCATCCATCCATCCGTCAATCTATCCATCCATCCATGCATCCATCCATCCTTTGAAACATTGACTAACTTCCATCGTACCCAACCCATCGGGATAGTTGTTGCCCTAACTGAATGGGATGATTTTAGGAGTGTTAGGAAAATGCTCAAGACCTTCCTCCAAATCCTCACTTACCCCCGATTGGCATTCAAAGTTTTACTTTTAAATCTTTATTCCTTAGACTTAAAAGTACCTCCTGGGAGGGACAAAATGTTGAGCCATTATGATTCATTTACACCTTAGAGTTTAAAAACCGATCCAAGGGCAGACATCGATGGAAATTGGAGGAGCCAGAAGAGTCCCCCACCCACTCAGGGAGAGGATTGGGAGAGAGGGGCTGGAGCCTCGGGGCCAGCCTCCCTACCCCCTCATTTTCCCTGGCTCTATGTGTGCCTGTGGCCCTGACTCTGAGAGGCGGGAGGGGAAGGTATAGTGCTAGCCAGGCTCCCTGCTACTTATACGTGCTGGAGTCCAATAACTGTTTGATGAACGAAGAACAAATCAATACCTTTCTATTTAGATTTCGTCACATTGTGTTTCTGTGACTTTGCCCTCTGGTCCAGGAAACACTGTTTTATCCAAGAGGAGCCTTGGGCCAGGGTCACAGGGCAGGGAATTTTCATACTTCAGCCCAGAACAGGAATGAATTGTTCCAAAGAAAATCAAGACTAATGAAAGTTTCACGAAATATCTACAAAATGGAACGTTATGTCCATTTCATTCACTGTCATAGAATAATATCCCTAAAAATATATAATATTTTAAAGCAATTTGGAGTTTATATTTTCTCCCTGTGGGGTATCCTAATACACAATGAATGCCAATAAATCAAAGCCAGTTGTAAACTAAATGTTATGAACTTGTAACCAAATCATCTCAAAGGCAAAGTTATAAAAAATAATTTTTTAAATGCCCAGCATAAAATTATAGATAATATGGGCACATTTTACTATTATGCTAGTACCCCTACATATTCCCATATTCTTAAAATGTTTTTCAGCAAAGGCAATGATTCTATCTCCAAGTTAGTTCATTCCTTTAACAATTTCATTTCAGCCTGTGTAACTTCTTTAGGTGAGGTGGAGGATCTAACGAAAAGGTCTATTTTGTTGTCAGGTAAAATTCTGTGTGGTTTTACGTAACTTTCCTGGCATAGATAGTGAAATAGTATATCTGGTGGGAAACCTCTAAGGATAGAGGATCTGGGCTTGTAAATGACCTGAACCAAAGTTGTTTTTGTTTGTGACTGTTCACTTCCAAAGAAAAGACCAAAAAAGCTATGCAGGTGTGGGTGATGTCAATCCTCCATCAATAACATTTAACAGATGCTTCCAAGTGCCTGCTCCAAGCTCCTGACACTACTAGATGTGCTGCCTTTCTGTCCTTCACCGTCCCATTGCCAGGGACACAGGGGCCAGGCTTCCAGTCCATGCCCAGAGCACTCATCCACACCAGATTCCTTCGCTGCATCTTTTTTTTTAAGCACCAACCGGAGCCTGGCGGATTGATGCAAGCTATGGAAGACACACAGAAGCCCAAGTAAGTCCCTGGCCCTGGAGCATCTGCGGTGGGCTCAGCGAGTACGGGGTGGAAATGCTTGTCATGTTAAATCCATGGCTGTCAGCACACTTCTGAATTCCAGAATCACCCACAGTGATTTTCAAAATTGAAAAGGAACTGGGATTTGTGCCTTGAGAGCGTCCCCAAACCTTGGAGCCACTCAGGGTGCTGGCTCTCGGCTACACATTCCCACCAAGAGATTTCATTCTTGCAATTTTCAAGGCCAAACATCTCCTAATCATAGAATCACTCCTCAAAGGGCTGGAGGCATTCCCAGCCCCGCCCAGTTCCCTCAGCCACCCTCAGGTGCTGCCTTCACTTCCGGAAGAACTCTCCCCAGCCCTCCTGGACATTGCTCTCAAGAAAATGTCTTGACCTTCCAAGAAAGCCACCTTCTTCCATCAGCACCGGCTTCACAGTATGCCACGTCTCTTATCTCCAACTCATAGCAAATTGTCCCTCTTTCCACTCTGTGCTCCTCAGCCCATCCAGCTCCACATTCCACCAACAGACCACCCGAATCACTCACAGCTGTAGTTGTAGAAAAAAGCAAACAAACAAAAGCAGTTGCTCCTTGATCGGAATCGACCAGCATGCATCTAGGGCCCATAGCAGCCTGAAGGCTGAGAAGCTGAGTCACTCAATAGCAGAAAAACCCAAAGCTGTGTGGGGACAACCGCCAGGTGGTGGCTCAGAGGAGGACACAGTCGCTGTGGGCAGGTGGTCAGGGTGCAGGAGGGAATGAGCTGTGGATTTTTAGTAATCTACAAGAATCAGGCAGTTCCAGGACACAGGGACGTGAGTGTGAAGAGCCAATGGACCCAGAGCCGAGAGCCTGGGCAGGCGTGGGCTGGACTCTGGACGCCCTGCAACCCTGCCAGGCTGGGAAGGGGAGGCTTGATCCTGAGGGCGTGTTAGGAAAGAGATGCCCAGGTTCAGGTGTATTGCGCATTTTTTTTCCACAGGGCAGAAATGACATTTCTGGTTGGTCTTGAATGTCTGCTCTGGCCAAGCCACCTCCTCTCATGCTAGTTAACCAAGTGGCACGTGTGCCCACGCAGGCCGTTCTAAGGAACACTATAATTGTCTAGGCAATTTTCTCTCAAATACTCCGGCCTGGAAGCGTCCGGTCAGCAGAAGAGGGAAGGCAGGAGGGCGGCAGCGTTCCGGCTGAGTCCTCTTGTACATGGGAGCTGGAGTCCGGCCAGGCTCCAGAGTGGCTCCGGCTGGCAAGGGACCTGAACAGGAAGATGGGACTCGAGGTTTTCTGCATGTGAGTTTGGGGTGAAGCTGTGGATGTGGGGTGGGCAGGGTTGGGGTTGACAGTCATCTGTTTTGGAAGCCCTGAAGCCCCGTCCGTTGCATATGCCTGCGGCCTGGAGCGTTCTCCAAGGGGAACTGGCTGTGCTGGCCCCTGCAGGAAAGACAGCTGGAGGCTGGGCTGGGCAGCCCCCAGAGGACCCCACGCAGTCGGCCGGAGGGCAGCCAGGCTCCTAATGAGCCAGGAAGGACAATAATCCGGTTCCTGAGAGTTTGGGCAGAACTCTTTTCATCGCTTACCAGGCCTGCTTGGGAGCAAGGACTGAATCTGTTGAGTGTTTTGAGGCCACGGGTCAGCTCCGGGAGCTTGGCGCCACTGCCCCCTTCTGTCTGCTGGGAATCCCTCATTTTTCTGCAAAGAGGGCCAGGCGGAACATTCTCCTCCTCCCTAAATACACCTCTGCCCTCCAACACAGACACATATTAGCATGGCAGAAGGGGTGGGAAAGTGATAGATCTCTCTCAGTAAGGGTAAAACAATGGTGCTGAAGAGGAATGTCATGCAATTTGAGACATGAGCTAATCCTTCAATTACCTGGGGCCCCACATCCCCAACAGCTGCCACCGCTTCCCAGGATGGGCAGGAGGGACCCAGGCAAAATAGAAAAGGAACCAGGATTAGTGTCCTGAGACGGTCCCCAACCTTGGAGTGCTGTCCTCACTGGCTTTAATTGGGTGCTGGCTTTAATTCCTGCAGTGTTCAAGGCCAGACATCTCTTGATCACTGGGTTTCATTTTTGAAGTTTTGGGAAACCAGAGGACAGCTCATCATTGCGCGTACCCAGGGGCTGGGTCCGGGTCTGCTGTGAAAAGATGCTGTCATCTGGGCTCAGTGCTCATGCCTGTGTCTCTTGGTCACTCACTGGAGTTGGGGACGGGCTTATCTGTTAGGACGATAAAACTTCAGTAGCATACGCCTTGCATGTGCTGGTATCCTTCCCAAAGGGCTTGTCGGTTTTTACATATATTATCTCAGCATCTTCTAGACGTCTCTGGGGGAGGAGCTATTCCAATGTAGACAGTCAGGTGAGTAATAGGCTGAGTAGCTTGCCCAAGATTAGTCAGACTTGAAGCCAGCACCAGCCCCCATCCTTATCTGGCTCCAATCTGATTTGCAAATCTCAAGCTTACTGTGTTTTATTCACCCATCTGTATAATGGGTTCAATGCTTCTTAAGGCATCTACAGAAAAATCTATAAAAAGGAAGACACATAGATTCTTCCTTTGGTGCTATGAAAAAAATGTCACTATTAAATATTTCCTGTTTTCCACTTAGTTTTTTTTTAGATAAAGATCAATAAAATGGAATATGTCCATTTTTGTTTTTAAAAAAAATCATTCTGTTGCCTATCTATCGAAAAAGATCTTTCATTACACAGAACAAGAAGTCTGAAAATCTGTTTTCAAGGCTAGTACCGATGTATTTTTAAAATGCAGGTGGTCAGCCTTGCCAGCTCAGGAATGATTCTTGGCGTTTTCAAACTCAAACGTTCCTCCTTCCCGCTGATCTGTGGATTCCTCATTCACACCATTTGCAGGACAAGTGGCTGCCAGGGCCAAGGACTTTTCACTGACTGGCCAACAGCAACATCGTGTGGGGAATTTTCTACTCCAGGCCATTTGCTGGGAGGGCTCCTGGGCCTGAGCTGCTACGGCCTCCTTCATCTCTCCCTGTGGGGTGAGTCTGTGAAAAGAAAGACGGGAGAAGCTGAGGCTCGTTCACTCACCTTGTCCACTTCATTCCCAAGAGAAGTATCGGGGGGACCTGCCAGGGTTAGGGGAAGCTCTGAGCTGAGCGCCTTGTGCGAAGAGGCAAGGTACTCGGAGGAAGCTGTTTTCTTCCGGGCCTGGAAGTGCACATGCTCGTCTACAGCTTTCCTGGAAGAAGAAAAAAACAAAAACTGAGATTTAGAACACCAGGTCTGTTTCCACTGGCGGCCACTCTTGGGCACAGGAGACCAGCAAGAGCTTTGCTTTCAAAAGGCTCTTCCATGGCAGATATTCGCAGAGACATCAGGGCTATACTTAAATGAAGGAAAAGTAAACATATGAAACCATATTTTTGATTCCACAGAACACTGCAAGACTGTCTCTGTTCCTTCCCACATCCTAACTCGATGCACTCATTGTTTTAAGGGGGGAAACCCAATGTCCAGTTCCTGGCATGTCCATAACAGGCAGGGTCAGCTTCATGGGCACGTGCACTGTGCAGTTACAGGAAGCCCCGTGCTCAGAAAGGCTTGCACTGGGCTTGATGTTCTGCAGACGCCATCTTGACATTCTTAATAATTTCTGAACAAGGGGTTCTGTATTTTCATTTTGCACTGGGTTCTGCAAATTATCTAGCCAGTCCTGAGAGCAGGCAAAGGTAACCTACAGAGCCTGGTACTCTTCAGAGCAAATGCACAACCTGGCCACTGTGTATATGTCTAAAGGCTAAGCTGCACCCGCCATGCACTACTTTATCTGCAAGGCCTTTGCTTACACAAGGATTTCTGCAATCTGAAATCTCATATCTGACCCAATTAATTCTAAATGTCTTTTATCAAAGTATCACAGGCTTTCCTGAAAGACTGACCCAATCATGTTCTCACCACTGTGAGTGTATGCTTTAGGGCCTGGGCCAGGAGGAGATTTGTTCTCAAAGGTCATCCATGGGCTGGGGGCAGTGGCTCACGCCTATAATCACAGAACTTTGGGAGTCCAAGGTGGGCGGATCATGAGGTCAGGAGTTTGAGACCAGCCTGACCAACATGGTGAAACCTTGTCTCTACTAAAAATACAAAAATTAGTCAGGCATGGTGGCAGGCGCCTGTAACCCCAGCTACTAAGGAGGCTGAGGCAGGAGAATCGCTTGAACCTGCGAGGTGGAGGTTGCAGTGTGCTGAGACTGTGCCATGGCACTCCAGCCTGGGTGACAAAGTAAGACTCTGTCCAAAAAAAAAAAAAAAAAAAGTCATCCATGAAAATATAAATGCCTGTGGGGTAACTTCTTGGCCAAGATTAACAGTGAGGGAGGCTCAGTGCCCACGATGGACTGGGGTCCCAGGAAGAGGACCCAGGTTGTAAGAACAGGCTTCCATGGGGCTCTGGGAAGGTAAGAGCCAGATGGCAGCAAGATAAATAAGGAAACCCCACACACACACTTTTTCTAGATGGCAGAAGACAGGGGTGCAGGGTCACATGAGGGAAGATAAGATTGTAACTAGAGAAGAGAATCTTAGACAAAGGCGGTGGGAGAGCCTAGCCTTAGGGGTAGGTGAGACAATATCGCAGGGACAGGCCAAGCACAACTGTCCCCATCTCAGGAGATCCCAAAGAGAGCCTGCAGTCGGCAGGCAGGCCCAGCAGAACAGACATCTGAACTATGACTCTCTGTTACACCGTTTGGGACTCTTTAAACTCCTAATAAGACCTTTAAAAGTTACATCAGGTACGGTGGTGGCTCATGCCTGTAATACCAGCACTTTGGGAGGCCGAGGCGGGCAGATCATTTGAGGTCAGGAGTTTGAGACCAGCCTAGCCAACATGGTGAAACCCTGTCTCTACTAAAAACACAAAAATTAGCTGGGTGTGGTGGCGTGCGCCTGTAATCCCAGCTACTGGGGAGGCTGAGGCAGGAGAATCGCTTGAACCCAGGAGGCGGAGGTTGCAGTGAGCTGAGATCGTGCCATTGCACTCCAGTCTGGGCGACAGAGCAAGACTCTGTCTCAAAAAAATAAAATAATAAAAGTTACATCAATGAAGCCAGTGGGGCTGGGTGCAGTGGCTCACACCTGTAGTCCCAGCTACTCGGAAGGCTGAGATAGAAGGAAGGATCACCTGAGCTTAGGAGGTCAAGGCTGCAGGGAACCATGATCGTACCACTGCACTCCAGCCTGGCCAACAGAGCGAGAACCTGTCTCTAAAATACAAATAAAATAAAATAATTTTTAATGAAATAAATAAGCCAGTGGTTCTGAAACCTGGCAGCACATCAGAATCACCTGGTGGGGGAGAGGAGCTCAAAAATTCCCATGCATGGACCCTACCCTAGTCAGTGAATCAGAATGTCTGGAGGTGGCCAGGGCATCTGGATCTTTTTTAAACTCTCCATGGGCTGCGGCTACAGCAGGAGGGTGGAGAGCCACCAATCCAGGTGACTCCTCCAGGATGCATGGACCTTCCTTGTGTCCTCATGTCCCTCCATCCCAGCTTCAACTCCATGGCCTCCTGTGATCTTCATTCCTTTGTGTGCATACTTATTTCCCTTGGCTGTCCGCCTTCATCATTTTCCCCTAGGAAAACCCCCACCAAATCCAGAGCCGCCTTTTGTCCACTTAGGACCCTCGCAGTGCAGCTGCCAGTGCTGGGAAAGGCTGTCTGGCGCGATGGTCCAGTGGTACCCTCAAGACCACTTGCCCCACCTGCACCCAGCACTGACCAGCACTTGACCCCTTGACTTGGTCCAGGCCTGCTCTCATTCTCCTGGATCACTGTGCTCTCCTCTGTGCTCAAGCCCCCCGCACCTTGTCCCCAATCTCCTGTCTCAAGACATCATGTTGCTTCTTATTTCCCTGAGAAACTTGGAGCAATCTCAGAACATGTGTTAGTGTCCACTGACATCTCCTCCAGCCTCCTGCTCCCACCTCCCCTCCCGTTCTGGAGTGCGCTCTCTCCATGCTGGTCAGAGCTGGTCTCTCCATGTGCGCACAGGATCCCTGCTGCCCCTACAGATGTCTCCCTCCTCGCTGGACCGTTTCCTCAGGCATGCAAACATGCTTCCGTGTCTCTCATCTTCAAAACAACAGCAAAACTAAAGAGTCCTCTCTTGCCTACACATCCCACTGGCAGAGATTTCTAACTCCTTTGATTTTGTTTTTTGTTATTGGTGGTGGTGTTCTGGGTGGCAGGATGGGGATTGCCTGGGATCCCTTTGGCAATCTGGCGAAGCTGATGTATTCTTCTCAGCACAATGCTTTTAAATGTGTAACATAACACATAACATGCAGGATTATAAAGGAAGTGAATTATAGTAAAACATAGTTATCAAAATATTTTAGTGCAATTCTATTCCTAGTAATGGATGACCTTCCTTATTAATGCATTACATTATGAGGTCTAGCAAGGGTCTTATAAGTACCATGTGAAATTGTGACAATGGTAAATGTTCTTTGCAGGTATCTGCAATGCCTGTAATGCGATGCAAAATATCATTACCTCTATTGCTGATTAAGGCATAGGCACTGGTCGTATTGCTGTAGATGGCTGCCTCCATTCAGGATTGAAGGAAATGCTAATTGTCAGTGAGAGCTTGATGAAATAGAAGAGGTCACTTTTTTTCCTAGCTGAGTTGAAAGATACCCTGAGGTCTGTGGGCCCTGGACCCCGTCCTAAAACTGTTGCCTCATTTCCTGATTCTCCTGGAGGGTCCAAGTTCTTGAAAGAATTCTCTCCTGTCCCTCTGTCCCTATTCTCTCTTGAATCCACTCCCATCAACTCCGCTGAAACTGGCTTATCAAGGTCTCTGATTTCCTTCATGTTGCTAATCCAGCGATCACTTCTCAGTGCTCAGATGACCTGATTTATCAGATTACTTGACTTGACACAGTAGATTGCTCTCTCCAACATGGAGCTCTGTCCTCCCTCACCAGTCTCCTCTGGGTTGACCGTTCTCTACTGGCCACTCCTATAGCCCATGGCTGGCTCCTCTTCCTCCCTCTATCTTCATCCCTCCCCTGATGTTGGAGGGTTCCTAGAATCAGCCCTGGAGCCCCTGCTTTTCTCTATCTAACGCTTCCTCCTAAGAGCATCCATCCCGTCTTTTAATCCCATCTCCATGCGGTGGAGACACAAACAGACTTCTCCGGTTCAGTCCCTCCCTGAACCCTGCACTTACATATGCAAGCATGGTTATCCCCAGCTGGGTAAGCACAGACATCTCAAACTCAACAAGTCCAAAACAAAATTCCTCTCTTCTGCCCTTCATCCTCTGTATCAGTCAGAGTTCTCCAGAGAAACAGAGCCAATAGGATGTGCATCTATATAGAAAGAGATCTATTTATTCTAAGGAATTGGCTCACATGATTCTCAAGGCTGGCAAGTGCAAAATCTGCAGGGTGGGCCAGGTACAGTGGCTCACACCTGTAATTCCAACACTTTGGGAGGCCAAGGCTGGAGGATTGCTTAAGCCCAGGAGTTCAAGACCAGGCTGGACAACATAGTGGGACCTCCATCTCTACAAAATATTTTTAGAAATTAGCCAGACATGATAGCACATGCCTGTAGTCCCAGCTGCTCAGGAAGCTGAGGTGGGAGGATCACTTGAGCCTAAGAGGTCAAGACCAGCCTGGGCAATATAGCAAGACCCCATCTATAAAATAAAATTCTGCAGGGTGGGCTAGCAGTCTGGAGACCCAGGATCGCTGACACTGCAGTTTCAGTTGGAAGGCAGCCTGCTATAGAGCCAAGAAGGGCTGATGTTGGAAATAAAGGTCAAATACAGTCTGCTGGAGAAAGTTTCTTGCTCAGGGGAGGCTGCATGTTATGGACTAAACATTTGCATTCTCCCAAAATTCCTACATTGAAGCCCTAAGCCCCTATGTGATAGTATTTGGAGACGGGGCCTTTGGGAGGTCATTAGGGTTCAGTGAGGTCATGAGGGTGGGTGCCCTCACGATGAGATTTGTGCTCTAAAAAGAAGGGAAAGAGAGAAAGATTTCTCTCAGCCTGCGTGCAAAGAAGAGGTCAGGTGAATTTCCACCAGGAACCAAAGCAGCCAGAACCTTGGTCTTGGACTTTCCAGCCTCCGGCATTGTGAGAAAATTAATTTCTGTGGCTTAATCCAGCAAGTCTGTGGTATTTTGTTGTGGCAGTCTGAGCTGATGGAGACACCAGTTTGGTTTTTGTTCCAGTCTGGCCTTCACCTGACTGGGTGCGGCCTACCCACATTATGGAGGGCAATCTGCTTTCAATGTTAACCTTGTCCAAAGACTAACTTCACAGAAACATGAAGAATAGTGTTCAATCACATATCTGGGCACCCCATGACCCAGCCAAGTTGACACATAAAATTGATCATCACACCCTCCATACCCAGATCTCCAACCCTCTTCAAGCTCTCAATAAATGGCAACTCCATTCTTCTAGTTGCCCAAGACAATAACTTTAGGCACCTGTGTCTCACACCCCACAGCTAAACCACCAGCACATCCTGCTAGCCTCACCTGAATATAGAAACTGACCTCTTCCTGGCACCCACCTTTGTCCCACTACCTTGGCTCAGCCTCTAGCATCTCTTACCTGAAAGATCACAAGAACCTCCTGCTTGGTCTCCCTAATTCAGCCCAGACGTAACCTTGGACAAGTGATGTAACCTTTCTACACCTCAGTTTCCCTATCTGTAAATAAGGATGGCAACATGCACATTGAGATTGTTTAAGAGTTCATTAAATGCCCATAGAAGCACTTAGCACATGTTTGGCATATCATAAACCCTCTGGAACTTTAACTATGACTGTTTTCACTCCTATCATTAACAACTAACAACTTTGGAGCACCTGGGCTTCAAAGCTAAATTTACAAAGAATGAGTTTTAAACCTCATGTTTAATAGTATTTTCCTTACCATTAGAAAATCTTAGCCTCATGTTTTCATTTGACACCACATTTTAACCACTGCAATTTATGCACAGTTCAATTCTCAAGTAAATAATTTTCAGAGGCTTACAAAATTCACAGAATCGTTGTCTTATTCATGAAGGTTTTCAGTCAGTTGAGACAATGACCTACTGCTTGTTTGGAGTTTGCTTTGTTTTTCTATTTTGGTGTAAGTCCTGACTAAAGGGGGAGCCCAGTAGGCTCTGCTGGATTTCCAAGGTCTTTACTCAGCAGGCTTCTGAGTCACCTTATTCAAATTTGGACTCTGCCCCAAATTTGGGCTTTTATGGTCTATGAAACCAAGACATGTTGACTTAAGAAAACCAGACACCCAGCCCGAAAAGGTCAGTCACCAATTTGGGTACACCCCAGCCAATTGCACACAAGCTGGAGACATGAGCCCCCCAAACTCCCTGTGAGCTAAGTGAATGCACACACTTCTTAAGCTCAGAGAAGCTGAGTCATTTGATTACTATATGGGTTACTTACTGTAGATTGTGTTTGCACTTGAATTTTCAAATTTGCAGGGGACTCTCCAGATTCTTCTTTCTCCATGTCCTCTACCTTTTCCTTGGATTTTGTCCTCCACACTTTGAGACAAGAAGCTAACCGTGGCTTTTTTTTTTTTTTTTTTTTTTGTTGTTGTAAAGACAGGGTCTCACTATGTTGCTCAGGAATGGCCTTGAACTCCTGGAATCATGCAATCCTCCCACCTTGGCCTTCCAAATGTTGAGATTACAGGTGTGAGCCACTGCACCTGTCCTGTTTTTATCAATGACAAATGTGAAGCCACCAGATCACACTCAATGCCTGTCCTGGAAGGGGACCCAGTTCTTATAATCACAGATGAGGTTTTTTTGTTTGTTTGCTTTTTGAGATACGATGTTGCTCTCTCACCCAGGCTGGAGTGCAATGGCACAATCTCTGCTTGTTGCAATCTATGCCTCCCAGGCTCAAGCCATCCTCCCACCTCAGCCTCCAAAGTAGCTGGGATTACAGGCTTGAGCCACTATGCCCAGCTAATTTTTCTTTTTCTTTTTAGTGGAGACAGGGTTTCACCATGTTGACCAGGCTGGTCTTGAACTCCTGAGCTCAAGTGATCCTCATACCTCAGCCTCCCAAAGTGCTGGGATTATAGGCGTGTGCCATGGGGCCTGGCCAAGCGTTTTCTCTGTAATGCCCTGTGCTGCCATTCAGCTACTCTCCTGTGTTTGTTTCCTGGGGCTGCCATAACAAAGCACCACAACCTGGGAGGCCTGAAACAACAGAAATTTATTCTCTCATGATTCTGAAGGCTGGAAGCTTGAAACTAAGGTGTGGGCAGGCTGGTTCCTTCCAGGGCTGAGAGGGAGCATCTGTCCCGGGCCTCCTGCTGGGCCTCTTCCGGTTGCTGGCGATCCTCCGCGTTCCTTGGCTTGGTAAGTTCTCGCTCCACTCTCTGCCTCCTTGTTGCAATCTATGCCTCCCAGGCTCACGTGTTCTTTCTATTCCATCTGCATGTGTTCTATTTCCGTCTGCACGTGTCTTTCTATTTCCGTCTTCATATGCCCATCCTCTTATAAGGACACCAGCCCTATTGGTTTAGGGGCCACTCTGTTTTAGTATGACCTCATCTTAACTAAATCTGCAATGACCCTATTTCCAAATAAGGTCACATTCTGAGGCACTGGGAGCGGGGAGGACTTCAACATATCTCTTTTGGGGGACCAGGTCAGTCCATTGCATCCCCTAGATAAAGTGTTCCCACAGAACACTTAACCGTTAGTCATCTAATAATCAGCTAAGGCTTTAGGAAATGTTTTTATGTCCTCCTGGGTTTTGGGGGGTATTGTTTCGTTTTGTTTTGTTTTACTTTTCTAGTATTTTTTTTTTTAATCTCAGATGGCAAGTTTTTAATTACCTGCACCTTGAAAAATGAAAAACAACAGCAACATAGCAAACCTGCCTGACTATCTTGTCAGGAAAAATCGCTCTGAAAAGGCACCCATGTATTTAAGCAAATGAAACTCAATCATTTCATTTTAAAATGCTGATCTACTGCATTTTCAATGAATTCTAATGAAATCTGGTGAGTTGAAATGAGAGAGATAAGGCCTCCGGAAAGGGTTTTAATTTTTGTGGTCATAGTCCCTTAAGTTTGTAGTTTTCGGTAAATCAATAGGTCATTCAATCTTACTGAGCTGAAAATAGCCTCTGTAACCATTTAACTGCGTACCATGGTTTTCATTTGTATTAACATAAACTTTTCTTCAAATCAGTTCTTGTTATAAAAAAAATAGATTTTTATTTCTTCATCCAAAAGAGAGGGGAGGAATTCATGGAACGTGTCATGTCCATATGATTTTGAGTAAGATATTTCACGCTGGTTTTCTCAAATAACAACAGCAAGCAATAACTATCATGATAGTAATAAGTTGTAGTCATGTAAGAGTCCTGTCTCTGCCTCTCATGGAAAGGCTTCATGAACGACTCTATGCGGATGGCATAGAAAGTCCTCACACATTTAAAATCTAGATGCCTGCCAGTCTGAAAAATAACCCAAGGAAAGTTACAGGAAGTTTGGAATAGTGATGAAGAAAGTTTTATTTTTAGAGCCAACACGCCACAGCGTAGCCCATCTGAAATGAATATGAAATGGTTTTTCCAAGGTACTGCTTGATCACTTTCTCATCATTCTTACATATTTCTGTAAGAAGATGTGCTAAAAATAGCCCCTCTAAAGTATCCCTAAGCTTCTTGAAAAGATATGCATTTGTTTTGCAAATTATTAAGAAACACAGTGTCCAAGGTGTCCTTAGGAAATGCTAGTTGAGGCTGGGCACAGTGGCTCATACCTGTAATCCTAGCACTTTGGGAGGCAGAGGTGGGTAGATCCCTTGAGGCCAGGAGTTTGAGACCAGCCTGGCCAACACGGTGAAACCCCATCTCTACTAAAAATATAAAAATTAGCCAGACGTGGTGGGGGGGGCCTATAATTCCAGCTACCCAGGGGGCTGAGGCAGGAGAATCACTTGAACCTGGGAGGCAGAGTTGCAGTGAGCCGAGATAGTGCCACTGTACTCCAGCCTGGGTGACACAGTGAGACTCTGTCAAAAAAAAAAGAAAAAGGAAGGAAGGAAGAAAGGAAGGAAGGAAGAAAGGAAGGAAGGAAGGAAGGAAGGAAGGAAGGAAGGAAGGAAGGAAGGAAGGAAGGAAGGAAGGAAGAAAAGAAAAAGAAATACTAGTTGAAGTTATTTCATGCAGATACCTCATAGCATAAGAATTACTTTCATTTCTCTGTGTTGAGTAGTTTTGCTAATATATCTCATCTAGATGAATCCAAATCTCCCTTGAGTTTATTTTTAGTTCCCAAATTCAAGCATTTATGATTTTGTTTGTTTATTTTGTTTTGTTTGCGACAGAGTCTCACTCTGTCACCCAGGCTAGAGTACAGTGGTGCAATCTCAGCTCACTGCAACCTTCAAGCGATTCTCCTCCCTCAGCCTCCAAGTAGCTAGGATTACAGGCATGCATCACCAGACCCAGCTAATTTTTGTATTTTTAGTAGAGATAGGGTTTCACACTGTTGGCCAGGCTGGTCTCAAACTCTCGACCTCAGGTGATCTGCCCACCTCGGCCTCCCAAAATGCTGGGATTACAGGTGTGAGCCACCGTCCCCAGCCAAATCATTTATGAAATAGCTAGACAATAATGAAGAGGCCATTTGGTTGGGGTGACAGTGAGGACATTCAGGTTTTTGAACCAGACATTTTCTTAAGTGGCTGAACATCAACGTTGAAGCAACTCTACATTATTTCAAGGGCCAAGGACTATGTTCATTTTAAGGTGGCACTTCATTTTTCTCTAATAAGTTTATAGACAGAAAATCAGGTTTTACGCTATTTCTATAATGGACCCAACATCATGTCAGAGCATTTTAGGGCAAACATGTATAATGGCTCATTCCCAAACATCTCAAGAGCCATTCCGACCACATGGCAGGCAAAAGGCACTGGTGACCACATCCTCCAACTCTCTGCCTGCACAGTGGCGCTCAGGGCAGTTCCGGGTAAAGAAACTTCCACCTGGCGGGCGCCTGTAGTCCCAGCTGCTCGGGAGGCTGAGGCAGGAGAATGGCCTGAACCTGGGAGGCGGAGGTTGCAGTGAGCAGAGATTGTGCCACTGCACTCCAGCCTGGGCGACAGAGTGAGACTCTGTCTCAAAAAAAAAAAAAAAGAAAGAAAGAAACTTCCACCACACCTGGCTTGTGCCTCAACTCCCTGCTGATGACCTGCACCCCTCCATTCTGGGGCTGACATTTCCTTCACCAGGGTGGGTAGACAAGGGCTGTGGAGCAATGCGTATCCATAGGAAAGCTTTCATCACAGGGGCTGATTTTGCAAGGGACGAGGTGACAGCAGCAGGTGAGACTGCTGAGGGTTAAGGAGAGTAAGGGACTCAGACACCCCACCCATCCCACCCCTGCACCCCTCCAAGAAGCCTGGTCTCTGTATGCAGCATCCACTAAACTTATTTGACTAGAGACACCCCTGCCACCTCCTTTACCAAAGAATAAGAACTTGCAGTGAAATCACTTTGGTACAATCACTTGGACTTGGCAATGGTAAGATAGGGTGGCTCTGTCCCTATCCCTTGACTGCTCTGACCCCAGGCAGTCAAGACACAGGCTGGTAGACAACACGTCCTCCCCTCAGTCCTGGCCAGGCCATCCCCATGGCCACTGCTGTTGAAATGATGATTAATCTGGAGCCAAAGTTGATGCAGTTGGGGTCCAGGTGAGCCAGGAGGTGAGCAAAACAAGGGCACCCTACTGTGTGCTCCAGAACCCTGCTTTTTTAAAGAAAAACATAGCTCAGAGAAAACAGAGGGAGACAACATAAAAGTTTATAATGGACACACACAAAAAAACCCTCTCCCTTCAGAGCTGGTGATCCTGAAACCAGAGCCAGTTGGAAGGGCCTATAGCAGCTCTGGCGTTTCACCGGTGCCCTTTACAGATTTTCAAAATTCTTTACAGCTCTATTGTTTTCTGATACTCTCTGCTGGGGACAAAGCCGACCAAAACTCTAAGGTTTAATGAGTGCCCTATTGGATTTCGAACTGGCATGGGGCCTGTAGCTTTGTTTTGGCCAATTTCTTTCATTTGGAATGGTGGTACTTACCCAATGCCTGTACCCCCATTGTATCTAGGAAGTAACTAATTTGCTTTTGATGTTGCAGATTCGTAGGCAGAAGGGACTTGCCTTGTCTCAGATGAGACTTTGGACTTGGACTTTTGAGTTAACGCTGCAATGAGTTAAGACCTTGGGGGACTGTTGGAAGGGCATGATTGCGTTTTGAAATGTGAGGACATGAGATTTGAGAGGGGCCAGGGCAGAATGATATGGTTTGGCTGTGTCCCCACCCAAATCTCATCTTGAATTATAGTTCCCATAATCCCCACATGTCATGGGGAGGGACCAGGTGGGAGGTAATTGAATCATGGGGGTGGTTTCCACCATGCTATTCTCATGATAGTAAGTTCTCACGAGATCTGATGGTTTTATAAGGGGCTTCACCCTCAGCTCGGCACTCATTCTTCTCCTTCCTGCTGCCATTTAAAGAGGATGTGTTTGCTTCACCTTCTGCCAGGATTGTAAGTTTCCTGAGGCCTCCCCAGTCCTGCGGAACTGTGAGTCAATTAAACCTCTTTCCTTTATAAATTACCCATCTTGGGCAGTTCTTTATAGCAGCATGAGAACAAACTAATACAGCAACCCACTCTATCTCTCCATTGCCAAGTCCAAGTTATCATGCCAAAGTGATTTCACTGCAAACTGTTCTTTGCTAAAGGGGTGGTGGGGGGTGTCTCCAGTCAAATAAGTTCAGGGGATGCTGCACATGAGACCTTTTCTGGGAGAGACACATTAACACATTTCCAGCTATGAGAAGTCCTACAGTCACTAAGGTTTTCTTAAACATATTTGACATTTGTGTCCTCGACACACGACATCCTGCAAATGCAGCATTCCAAGATGCGGTCGTTGGGAAACTCAGCCCTAAATCCTGCTCTCTTGTGCAGCTAAGCCACATACTCCCCACCCAGGATTGTACTTTTGGGGTTTTGTGAACTCAAATGCAGGACCCAGCATTGATGCCTCTGACACATCCTGTTAGATTCTGCCTTCCCACCACCACTCAGCCTGTCGAGGGCTTTCTGGAGCTTGATGCTTGGAACCCTATTTGTTTTGGACCCGTATCTCTCTAGCAAATCTTCCCATATGCACACACATGGCTGCAGGAAAATGGTAGACCACAGGTGAACACCAGTTCAGCCCTGCATGGGCTGCTCCCCCTGGCCAGGCTTGGGCAAGTTCCTTCCTATACAAACAGCCCTGCAGGGCAGGGCGCTTCCAGAGCATCAGGGAGGAATTTTATGTGGCTTCCAGGGAGATGCATTCAGTTAAAGTTGTTTTTCCCTTGAAAGGCCCCAAAGTGAAAAGCAGTTGCAGGGAAGTTGAATTATTACCTAATGCCAGTAGCAGCTGCTGGTAAGGAAGAAGGAAAGCAGGTTGGGGAGCTGGTGTCTGGGATTTGGGGGCTCATTAACACTCATGTCTTAAATTAGCAAATCCTTATAGCACATGTTTAAAAATAGCAGCCTAATGGTTTCTAAAATTAGCCATCATTGCTCTCCATAAATATTTAGACCTCCAATAAACCTCTGGTCCACTCGCCTAGCCTAATGGGCTTGGCTTTTATGCCACATTCTTTAGGGTCTGTATACTTAATTATTGACCTTGAGAGTGAGAGCTGCAAGAAGCCCCATTATGCTTGGACCAGGGACACCCTGTGTGGCTGTCACCCTGGAGGCAGCCTCAAAGCAGGGCGGGAAGAGATCTCAGGGGCCATTCGGAGATCTAGGTACCTGGAGGAGCCTCTGGTCCTGGTTTCCTTGGGACTGTCTTAGTTTCAGCCCTGAAGGTCCCTGTCCTGGGCAACCCCTCAGGCCCTAGCAAAGCAGGGCAGTTTGTTGTCCTGGCTGCCCAAGCCACTGCAAAAGGGACAAGGCCACTGTTCTGAGATCTCTGTGGGAAGGAGTATCTGTTGCTAACACCATCCCTCAGTCCTTACACTAACTTCAGTCCCATCTCATTGAAGCATTAGTGTTTAAAGGGGGGAATGACACCAAGGAGAACACTAGCCAGGCCAGGCATAGGACTTTTGTCCTCTGCTCCTCTCGTTTGCCCATGTGTAAAAAGGGGATGGTAACAGTCACTGACGCATTAGGTTGTTGGGAATAAACTAGGAAATGTGTCAGTGTTCAAACCGTGCTCAGGCCCAGTCATCTGGTGCCATCAGTGTGCTCAGGGTGTAGCGTGGGTCCGCTGGCAGCCCCACTGGCTGTGCCTATCAGGGTGGCCACCTTGGCCTTGTTGCCAGCACCTCCCCCAGGGCAGTGACCATAGGACAGCCGGCCCCAGTCCTTCTCTGGCCAGCAGGGACTGTGATGGTGTCCCCAGTCGCTGGACAGAGTGAGTGCTTGCTGTGTGGAGGGAAGAAAGGCTTTATGCAAAGCCAGCATCATGCATAGTGCATGTGACAAATTCTGGGCTGTGAACAAATAGTCATCCAAAACAGCAGCAGAAAAATACTCGGTGTATCAGTCCATTCTCACAATGCAACCTGAGTCAAAGAACTACCTGAGACAGGATAATTTGTAAAGAAAAGAGGCTTCATTGGCTCTCACAAGCTGTACAGGAAGCATGACTGGGGAGGCCTTAGGAAACTTACAATCATGGCGGAAGGTAAAGGGGAAGCAGGCATGACACGGCCAGAGAAGGAAGAAGAGAGAGAGGGGAGCAGGCAGGTGCTGCACACTTTTAAACAACCAGATCTCGTGAGAACTCACTCACTATCACAAGAAGAGTAAGGAAGAGGTCCGCCCCCATGATTCATTTGCCTCCCACCAGGCCCTTCCGCCAACACTGGGGACTGCCATTCGACATGAGATTTGGGTGGGGACACAAATCCGAACCCTATCACCTAGACACCCCTTCAGTCTACTCCGTGTCCTGTGAGGCACCACATTGTTTTGTTATTATTTATTTTTGTTTGTTCATTCATCAGGACAGAACCAATTACCTCCTACAATGCTAAAGCATTTAAACCCAGTATATGTTTTTAAATTAGCAAGATGACGGTTTAGACTCCCAGTGGAAACATCAGTTATTATTTACTCACCAAGTGATTTCCATCTAGTAGGGGATTTATTTATTTATTTAGTTAGTTTTCAAGACAGAGTCTCGTTCTGTCGCCCAGGCTGGAGTGCAGTGGCACGATCTAGGCTCACTGAAACCTCCGCCTCCTGGTTCAGGCAATTCTCCTGCCTCAGCCTCCTGAGTAGCTGGGGATGACAGGTGCACACCACCAATGCCCAGCTGATTTTTGGTTTTTTTTAGTAGAGGCAGGCTTTCACCATGTTGGCCAGGCTGGTCTCAAACTCCTGACCTTAAGCGATCCACCTGCCTTAGCCTCCCAAAGTGCTGGGATTACAGCCGCCAAGCCCCACTGGGGATTTCTTGACAATGTCTCAGGGTCTCATGGGCAACACCCTGCAGCCCACTTTTCCTGTCTGCAGCCTGCACTGCTTAACTGAGGCTCAGCCCTCTGCAGAAGAAGAAGCAGGTTTTGCCTACTGAGTTTTTCGCCGGTTTGGGATGCTGAAGTGACTTGTCGTCAGCAGAGACGCTTCCCTTTTCTCCCTTCAGACCAAAAAAGCAGCTGAGCCCCAGGTCACCCATTGGATGGGCGCAGCCAGGGCCCGGACCTCCTGATGCTTGGTCTCGCGGATTACCTTGCCCCAGGCAGGAGAGAAAAGCTAGTGGTGTCCACTCAAGACTTTCACTCCCTTCCCTTTCTGCCTTCATCCCTTCCTTTCTCCCTTCCTTTCTCTGTGCCCCCGCTTCCTTCCTTTCTCCTTCCTCCCTCCCTCCTCCTCTTCTTCCCTCTCTCCTTCCTTCCTTCTGTATTTCCTAGTGTTTTTTTGTTTGTTTGTTTTGTTTTTTGAGACGGAGTTTTACTCTGTCTCCCAGGCTGGAGTGCAGTGGTGCGATCTCAGCTCACTGCAACCTCACCCTCCCTGGTTCAAGCAATTCTCCTGCCTCAGCCTCCCAAGTAGCTGGGATTATAGGCACCTGCCAACATGCCCAGCTAATTTTTGTATTTTTAGTAGAGACGAGGTTTCACCATGTTGGCCAGGCTGGTCTTGAACTCCTGACCTCAGGTGATTCACCTGCCTCTGCCTCCCAAAGTGCTGGGATTACAGGCATGAGCCACTGTGCCCGGTCCCTAGTGTCTTCTATATGCCTGGCCCTACATAGGTGCCGGGTCCTTGTCCCCAAAAAGTGTCCTGGATTTTGGTATGCTAAGAATTCTTTAAAAGCCTTTGAAAGGGCTCGGCATTCCCATATCCCTGAAAGCCAGGTAGCAGCCTCTGTTTGATAATAAAGTCACCCTCGATCAGCCCTCAGCAGTCACAAGCGGGCATAGCGAATGGGGAGCATGGTGGGAGCGGAGGTCCATGCTGGAGAGGAGGGATGCTGGCCTGTGCTCCTGCTGCAGCTCCTGAGGGGCTGTGACCTTGGAAATTCCTGCCCTGGCATCAGCTGACAGTCTCTGGGTCACATCCAGCTCTGGAATTCTGAAGGCAGCATCTGACCTACCGAGGGGACGAAACCTCTCCCTGCCTGAGCACGTGGGTGGAGAATTTGCCCACTTCAGAAAACCCCTCATGCTGACAACCGCCCAGGGCTATTTTCTAAGTCACAGCTGGCACACACCTGAGCACTGTCAGGCCAAGGCATGAATAGCACATGTTGATTTAACAAGTGTTATTCCTGGTTACTGACGAACGGAAGGACAGGAGATGCCAAAGCAGCAGCAGTGCTTGAGGGTGGACATAAGCAGAACTTCCGGCAGGAGGCTGGAGTCCTTCCCCGAGACCAGCGTCGGCTGTCATCCCTTCAGATCCTGCCTTCCCGGGAAAGCAGCTATTCTCCCACCCAGTGAAGTCTCAGAAACTATTTTTGAAAACATGTTAATTGCCACACCAACCGCCTATGGAAAACTTGGTTTCGGTGACAGAAATAAGTGCATGAGATAATCTTTAACCCGTTTCCTTTCTCTCCCTGCTCCCGCCTCCCTCGGCTTCATTAGGGCTCCGGTCGGCACCTGAGGAGCGGCGTGACCTCGAGGGCCCAGGGAGCTGCCCGGCTGGCCTAGGCAGGCAGCCGCACCATGGCCAGCACGGCCGTGCAGCTCCTGGGCTTCCTGCTCAGCTTCTTGGGCATGGTGGGCACGTTGATCACCACCATCCTGCCTCACTGGCGAAGGACGGCGCATGTGGGCACCAATATCCTCACGGCCGTGTCCTACCTGAAGGGGCTCTGGATGGAGTGCGTGTGGCACAGCACAGGCATCTACCAGTGCCAGATCTACCGGTCCCTGCTGGCGCTGCCCCAAGACCTCCAGGCTGCCCGTGCCCTCATGGTCATCTCCTGCCTGCTCTCGGGCATAGCCTGCGCCTGCGCGGTCATCGGGATGAAGTGCACGCGCTGCGCCAAGGGCACACCTGCCAAGACCACCTTCGCCATCCTTGGCGGCTCCCTCTTCATCCTGGCCGGCCTCCTGTGCATGGTGGCTGTCTCCTGGACCACCAATGACGTGGTGCAGAATTTCTACAACCCGCTGCTGCCCAGCGGCATGAAGTTCGAGATTGGCCAGGCCCTGTACCTGGGCTTCATCTCCTCGTCCCTCTCGCTCATTGGTGGCACCCTGCTTTGCCTGTCCTGCCAGGACGAGGCACCCTACAGGCCCTACCAGGCCCCACCCAGGGCCACCACGGCCACCGCCACCACCGCACCTGCCTACCAGCCACCAGCTGCCTACAAAGACAACCGGGCCCCCTCAGTGACCTCGGCCACGCACAGCGGGTACAGGCTGAACGACTACGTGTGAGTCCCCACGGCCTGCTTCTCCCCTGGGCCACTGTGGGCTGGGTCCCTGGCAGGACTGTCAATGGAGGCAGGGGTTCCAGCACAAAGTTTACTTCTGGGCGATTTTGTATCCAAGGAAATAATGTGAACACAAGGAAATGTCTTTAGAGCACAGAGACAGAGGGAGGAATAAAAGGAGGAGAAAGCTCTCTATACCAAAGACTGAAAAAAAATCCTGTCTGTTTTTGTATTTATTATATGTATTTATGTGGGTGATTTGATAACAAGTTTAATATAAAGTAGCCTGGGAGTTTGGTCAGTGGGGTTGGTTTGTGATCCAGGAATAAACCTTGTGGCTGTGGCTGTTTATAAAGTGGACAGTATCTGTTTCTGCTTCCAGACTGTTATTCTGTCTCCTAAGATGCTGGTAACCACAGTCAGAGCCCAGTGGGGCTCAGGGTCGCAGGGCCGTGCAGCCGTGATGACCACAGCACCGTGGAGTCCTGACTCTGATGCGGGGTGAGGATGTCGGAGGAGGACGGGGCTGATCTCCATTTGTAAGATGCTTGAAAATGCTAGGAGCTGCATCCCGGCTCGAACTCAGAGGCAGGGCAGAAGGGAAGGGGCTTCCTTGGAAAAAGATAGTTGCCAGAAGTCACAAAATAAGGACAATGTCATTTTCTTCCTGTGAGCAATAGGTCCCCACTGGTAAGAAAACAAGAGTCAGAAGGAAACGGGGCTGGGCACAGTGGCTCATGCCTGTAATCCCAGCACTTTGGAAGGCTGAGGCAGGCGGATCACCTGACGTCAGAGTTCGAGAGCAGTCTGACCAACACGGTGAAACCTCATCTCTTATAAAAATACAAAAATTAGCTGGGTGTGATGGCGGGCACCTGCAATCCCAGCTACTCAGGAGGTTGAGGCAGGAAAATCACTTGAACTCAGGAGGTAGAGGTTGCAGTGAGCTGAGACTGAACCACTGCACTCCAGCCTGGGTGACAGAGCGAGACTCGGTCTCAAAAAAAAAAAAAAAAAAAAAAACACAGGAAAAACGGAGTGAAACATGGCCGGTGTCTTATCTTTCTAGGTTTTGGCAAAAAGCCCAGTTAGGAGCCCACTTGCCCCCAAGGGCCTCACTGGGACTTCACTGGCTTCTTTTCTGGGCTGGCCAGTCCCAGCTGCCATGAGAGCAGCATCTGTGGCTGTTCCTGCAGCTGCAAAAAATGTCTGGGCAGCTGGGGGAGGCCTGATGGCTCTGAGAACACTCCTGATCCCTGCTGGCTGTGATCTAAGTCACATGGTGACACACAGGGAGCCTGGGCCTGCTCTCACATCCACATGGGCTCATGTCCTTGGCCCACATTGGACAGCACCTGGCCTCTGTCCCGAACCTGAGGCTCTGAATGTGGAAGGAAACAGCTCACTCCGTGGAAGGGCTTGGCTTGAGACTTACACACAGAGGGGCTGTCACGTGAAGTCACTCTATTCTCAGCGGTCTGGGAGTCAGGGCTCCAGCAGTCACTGAGTGCAGGGAAGAGCCGCAGTGGGTCAGTGGCAGGCATGCAGCCAGCTGGCCAGGCTCGCTCATGTGGCCTGCTGAGACCCTGGCTTCAGTGCCAGGGAGCCTCTAGTAGAGTGGTCAAGAGGCTTGAGAACTGCTATCAAAAGGGCAGGCCAGGCAGCCCACAGCCCAGAGCCCTGGAACCAGCAAGGCCTGAGGCCTGCTAATGCTCTCCTGACTTCGTGCCTCCTCCTGGCCAGACTGGGTCAGGCACCTGCTTCTCCACTGGCCAAGGCTCACACCCGTAACATGTGTACACTGGACAGCCCTCTTCTGATTGCTTTAGGCTCTGCCATTTATACCTAATAAACTATGTTGTGATAAAATCTCTCAGGGGCCTCCTAGCAATATTGAAGAACAGAGGATTTAAGAAACGGCTGTACACATACTTACATATTTCTTTTTTGTTTGTTTGAGATGGAGTCTTGCCCTGTGTGCCCAGGGTGGAGTGCAGTCGCATAGTCTCCACTCACTGCAACCTCTACCTCCCGGGTTCAAGCGATTCTCCTGCCTCAGTCTCCCAAGTAGCTGAGACTACAGGTGCATGCCACCCCACCTGGCTAATTTTTGTATTTTTAGTTGAGATGGGGTTTCACCATGATGTTGGCCAGGCTGGTCTTGAACCCCTGACCTCAAATGATCCTCCTGCCTCAGCCTCCCAAACTGCTGGGATTACCGGTGTGAGCCACTGCTTCTGGCTTCTTGTCTGTTTTGTATGAACCTCTAGACCCCACGCAACAGATGACTCTTCTGGAAGGAGTGGGTGCCACACATCTCAGCCTTTATCTGACCACAGAGAAGATCAGGAGGCTGGGATCTGCCATGCTATTTAGGCCAGGCATTGAGATCTGAGAGGTCCTTATTTATTTAGGATGAAACAAGCCGTTGTTATCTATTCTTTAAGTTATAAAAAAGGAATAAATCTGAATCCATAAAGAGGAGAAAAACTATTTTCTACCGGCAGAATGATACTGTCAGTGTTTGCTTGATGGGCACAATCCAGACAGCATTTTATGAAGTTATTCTAGTTAATAGACCTGTTACAAATGAAAGAAAAAATACCTTTTCTTTTTGTTTTGAGATGGAGTCTCGCTCTGTCACCCAGGCTGGGGTGCAGTGGTGCAATCTTGGCCCACTGCAACCTCCACCTCCCAGGTTCAAGGCATCCTCCCAGTTCAGCCTCCTGAGTAGCTGAGCTTACAGGCGCCCACCACCATGCCTGGCTAATTTTTGTATTTTTAGTAGAGATGGGGTTTCACCATGTTGGCCAGGCTGGTTTCAAACTCCTGGCCTCAAGTGATCCACCTGCTTCAGCCTCCCAAAATGCTGGGATTAGGAGAGTGAGCCACCACACCCAGCCATGAAAAAATAACTTTTTCAAACTCTTTTTCTGAATTCTGTCACTACTAAAATAAAATATGGCTCTCTCTCCTCCTCAGGTGAAAGTCTAGTAATAATGACTACAATTTATTATCACTTACTGTGTGTCAGGCATAGTTTTCTTTTCATCTACTAATTTGATTCAATGTGAGATAATTTTTTTTTTTTTTTAGTTTTCTGTTTTGGTTTTTTGAGATAGGGTCTTGCTCTGTCACCCAAGCTGGAGTTCAGTGACTCAATCACAGTTCACTGCAGTCCAACCTCCTGAGCTCAAGCAATCCTCCCATCTCAGCCTCCTGAGTAGCTGGGACTACAGGTGTCCACCACCACACACCTGACTAATTTTTTTTTTTTTTTTTTTTTTGTAGAGACAGGGTCTCACTGTTTTGCCCAGGCTGATCTCCCACTCCTGGGCTGGCTCAAGCAATCCTCCTGCCTCAGCCTCCCAAAGTGCTGGGATTATAAAAGTGAGCCACCACACTAGATAAATATTGTTCTTAATCTCATTTTATAAAGGAGAAAACTAAAGCACAAAGAGATTAAGTTACTTGCCCAGGGCCACAGGGCAAGTGAGTAAAAGACCCAGGATTTGAACCCAGACAGGTAGGCAAGGGGTGAATACATTAACTCAAGAAGACACATGACCTATAGTCTAAGCACATTTATGTCCAGACTATATCCAAATAACACAGGGAATTGCTTCATGGCCATATTCGGCTCTTTGCAGTACCACCACTTGACAGGGCTTGTGTTAACTGGGTCCTAGGTGGATTGGATGAAAGATGATGTCAGACCCAGAGGTCCAAGATGGAATCCCATGGGAAACAGGCAGTGGCACACAGGAGGGGATTTGTGTGGCTCCATCATCCGAAAGCTGGCCAGCTCAGATAGGAAGTTGATCTTCCTAAGACCTTGGTTCCCACCCTCAGGAAGAAGGTGTAAGAATGCAGCACCCAGCTCTCCCTTCTCTCTAGCTCTCGCCATTCCTCAGGTCCTCTGAGCCCCTCTTTGCCACATTACAACCTTGGCCGTGAGAGATGCCTGTATCCACCCAAATCTTTGGGACTAGGATTTCTTAACCAAGGTTGTTTCAACAAAAGCATGATCTCCTTGTGGAGGTGCAATGCACAACCCCACATTTCAGGCTGAAAAGAGAACATGAGTCTGACTCATGTGTTCTAGAAAACCGTTGTTATAGGCAAAAATTTACAGCATGACCCTTATGGATTAAGAAATGCTGCATTTCTTTATTTCTTTAAATCACATCAAATTTGGCTCCAATCCAGAGCGATCTAAAGTCATTATGGGGGAAAAAATGTATATTAAAGTCAAGCATGTTTTCTGGTCCCCTACCCCTGCATTGAGGGGGTCTCAGGGGCCCAGCACTAAGGGAGGCCCTAGACTTAGAAGGGATGCGGGGCTCAATCTTCAGTCCTTGGGGTCGCCCTGGTTTCCCACTGATTGCCAGGCCTGATGCCTTCACAGCCTAGGAGCTCCCGGTGCTCCTCATCCCTCCCTTTAAATAGGCACTGGAATCTTCCACCCTGTAGAAGCCTGGAGCAAAAGTAACCTTTTTCCCAGGCAGTCTCTGGGAAGCTGTTTCCTGAGATGGAGCCGCCCCCTCCTACACTGAAAGTACCTGTTTCCCCTCTTGGACAACACGGCCTAATTGGTTTCATGAATTTAGCCTTTTGAAATCAAAGGCTTCTGAAACGTCCCAGAAATCCCACTTTCATGTCAAGCACTGTGGACATAAACGGAAATAATTTGAAAACTACAGCACAATTTGAAATGTGTATAATAACAATCAATTTCTTGATAGTAATAAACCAAAGATGGCACCAGAATTTGCACCCAAAAATCCTGGCCCCAAAGCCCCACACTTGGCCACAATGCCATCCTGCCTCCCTGCCTCGGTCCCCCTGTCTCTCACTGCCAGGCAGGAGCAGCATGGACGGTGACAATCCAGGCACGTAGACTCCATGTGGGTCTGGACTAGGCGGTGGCAGTGGAGGCGGGAAGAGGTGGGGATGGGCCTGCCGGTAGAGGTGACAGGGTTTCCTGATGGCCAAGCGTGCAGAGTGGAAAAAAAAGATGCTTTAAAGGTGATGCCAAGGCTTGGGACTGGATCAACTGGAAGAAGAGCATTACCATTTTCTGAAATGAAGAAGATTCCAGAAAGAATGGTTGTTGATGAGGTAGATCAAGTTTGCTTTCATCTATGTGGTCTGAGCTGCCTCGGGTGGAGAAGTTGAGTGGGTACTTAGCTATATAAACCTGGAGTTCAGGGACAGCCCTGAGCTGGAGAGATTGGCCCAGAGATGGAATTTAAACCACGCAGCTTGAAAAGATCACACTGGAAGTGAATATAGATGAGGAACTCAAGAGACTGGGCCGAGCCCTAGAGAGAGTGGCGTACAGAAGCTAGCAGCGGCGGGGATTCAGCAC